CCCACTTGAGGGTAGGGAGTGCATTCACCGAAGCTCGTGCCAGTTCGGGACCAGGCTTGGGAGCTCACAGAATGGAGGGAGGCTTATGTTTAGCAGGTATTGAATTGGATTCACAGTAAGTGCAGTGGAGTGGGGAGCAGAACGGCCCGTCCTTGGGGTGGGGAGTTGGGGGTTAGCTCCCGCAGTGGAGCGCCGAGGAATTGGGCGCACTGGGAGCGCTGTGGGCAAAGGGGCAATCAGGCAATCCACAGCGCCTCTGAAACGCGTAAGTCAAAACCAAACTGCTGGCTTTGCGCCCTTCTCGGTAAATTGCGCCACCAATCTGCCCCCACTCTCCCCACTCCCCCGGCGTCCTCTCCCGCAGCCAGCGTATCTCCCACACCTGAAAGCCATTTTCCATGCCTGCAATCCATCTGGGCCTTCAGGCACCCCAAGGCCTCCACCCTAGTCTCAGCTGCGCTCCCTTACTGACTAATGCAAGAGTTTGTGAGCTGCTTTCTTGTTTCCATTCTTGCCCTTCCATAAAACATCATCTAAGCATCAGCAGTAGTGACCTTTCAAACAATGTAAATTCTTTTACTGCCTCTGCTAAATCCTCTATGGGATCTCCGCAGTGCTTACAATAAAACCCAAGATCTTTCCCAGAAATTTTACTGTGGATCTTGTACATGACCTTCCTCACGCTTTTGCTCCTGCTTCACTACCTACCACTTTCCTCCTTGTTCTTTACACTCCAGCCACACCGCACACCTCCTGTCCTCTGTCAGGAGCTCTGCACTCAACTGTTCCCTCTGGCCCAGACCATGCTCTCCCCTCCTCGCCCCCCTCCTGCTCCCCAGATCTTTAATAAAAAGTTTATTTCTGGCTGCACTGGGTCTTCCTTGCTGCTCGCTTGCTTTCTCTGGTTGCGGTGAGCAGGGGCCACTCTCTAGTTGTGGTGCTCGGGCTTCTCATTGCAGTGACTTCTCTTGTTGTGGGTCACAGGCTCTAGGCATATGGGTGTAACTGCCCCACGGCAGGTGGAATCTTCCCGGGCCAGGAATGGAACCCATGTCCCCTGCATTGGCAGGTGGATTCTTAATCACTGAACCACCAGGGAAGTCTCCCCCTCCTCCAGACCTTTATGTGGTTTGAATCCTTACTTTGTTCAGTTCTTGCTCAGGTGTTGTTTTTCAGGGAGGTCCTTCTAAACTACTGTTGGCTAAGACAGCCTTCCGGGTCACTATATTCCATCACACTGCTTTAATTTCTTCTCAGCACTCTCTGAGGTTTGTACTGGCTTCTTGGGCTGTGAGAGCTGGGCCCCTGCCAGTTTTGCCTGCTACGGCAGCTGTCAGTTCAGGTCAGTCCCTCAGTCATGTCCGACTCTTTGCAACCATGGACTGCAGCACACCAGGCTTCCCTGTCCATCACCAGCTCCTGGAGCTTGCTTAAACTCATGTCCATCGAATCAGTGATGCCATCCAACCATCGCATCCTCTGTCGTCCCCTTCTCTTCCTGCCTTCAATCGTTCCCAGCATTTGGGTCTTTTCCAATGAGTCAGTTCTTTGCATCAGGTGGCCAAAGTACTGGAGTTTCAGTTTCAGCATCAGTCCTTCCAATGAATATTCAGGACTGATTTCCTTTAGGATTGACTGGTTTGATCTTGCAGTCCAAGGGACTCTCAAGAGTCTTCTCCCACACCACAGTTCAAAAACACAGTTCTGGCAGCTGTAAGACATGCTTTTGGGGGAGTGGCAGCAGAGACAACAGCGATGAACTTAATGCAGGTAGACTGGATCGAAGTGATGGCTAGCCGGTCCAGGACATAGCAGGGAGGTGATAAGGAGGGAGACTGAGGCCTGGTTTTGCTACTGTGATCTGTGGGTAGGTTACTGTGCTAAGTTACCATTTCTCAGCCTTCTCTTTGGCTCACCGGGAGACTTGCCAAGAGAAAACCAGAACTCAGTAAGCAGTAGGAAACTGGCGAGAGGTGGCTGCAGGGGAGCCTGATACAAGTCTATGGCTTCCCTGTTTGTTTCATGCTCTTCCTGTGCATGTTTTTGTGTTTTTCCTAAAGCCCTGTTTAACTGACTCCCCAGGAAACCCACGCTCCGTGGGGCAGGTGTGGTTGGTGTGTTCTGTGGCCTCTGTCACCTGCTGCTGCCCTACAGTGGTTTCCTCCCCACCCCCCAGGGGACCAGACGCCCTAAGGACAGTGTCTGGGGCTGTCATCTCTTGAGACTGGGTCTTCCATCAACAGACCACTCTCGAGTTTCTTTCTGGAAATAAGCTGTGTCATTTTCACTGAAACTCATTAGGTAACTTGAGTCTCTTGGGAAATATTGAAAACACTTGTGGCGTCTCAGTTATCTAAAGTGGCTGCAATCTTTTTGGAGAAAAAGTTGAGCCAAGTTCTCTAATGACAGCAGAAGGGAAGCAAGGGCTGGCACGGCAGGTGTGCTTGGTCTGTTCTGTGGGAGAGGGGGCTCCACACAGAGCCAGAGGACACGCTGAAGAAAATGAAAGGACCCAGTTGCTGGGAGGCTCGGTGGTTGTGGCGCACAGGCTTAGTTGCTCTGAGGCATGTGGGATCTTCCTGGACCAGGGATCGAACCCGTATCTCCTGCACTGGCAGATGGATTCTTTACCATTGAGCCACCAGGGAAGCAGAGATGCCAGAGACATAGATTCGGTCCCTGGGTGGGGAAGATCCCTTGGAGAAGGAAATGGCAACCCACTCCAGTACTCTTGCCTGGAGAATCCCATGGACAGAGGAGCCTGGTGGGCTACGGTCCATGGGGTCACAGAGAATCGGACATGACTGAGCAACTTAGCACGCACATAGGATGGTGGGTTGCTCTTGGAAGGTGGAGGCCGGGCCAGGACTGCGTCCGCTCACTGGCTCTCTCCTTGCAGGACCACCATGTTCCGCAGGGTGGGGTGGCTGGTCCCGTACAGCATTGCACTGTTGCTGCTCAGCTGCCTGTTCTTTCTGAAGAAGGAGGCCCAGCCAGCGGGGGGCCCCATGGCCCGACAGCCCTTCTGGGCTCCCCCAGGGCTCCAGCGCAGCCCATGTCTACCCAACCACACGGTGGCTAACGCCTCTCTGTTCCTGCCCACCCGTCACCGCCTCTTCTTGACCTACCGCCACTGCCGCAACTTCTCCATCCTGCTGGAGCCTTCGGGCTGTGCCGAGAACACCTTTCTGCTCCTGGCCATCAAGTCGCAGCCCAGCCATGTCGAGCGGCGCACAGCCATCCGCAGCACGTGGGGCCAGGCGGGAAGCTGGGCTAAGGGCCGGCAGCTGAAGCTTGTGTTCCTCCTGGGGTTAGCAGGGCCTGCTCCCCCAGCCCAGCTGCTGGCCTACGAGAGCCGCGAGTTCGATGACATCCTGCAGTGGGACTTTGCTGAGGACTTCTTCAACCTGACACTCAAAGAGCTGCACCTGCAGCGCTGGGTGGCTGCTGCCTGCCCCCAGGCCCATTTCATACTAAAAGGAGATGACGACGTCTTTGTCCATGTCCCCAATGTGCTGGAGTTCCTGGATGGCTGGGACCCAGCCCAGGACCTCCTGGTGGGGGATGTCATCCGCCAGGCCCTGCCCAACAGGAACACCAAGGTCAAATATTTCATCCCACCGTCCATGTACAGGGCCCGCCACTACCCACCCTATGCTGGGGGTGGGGGGTATGTCATGTCCAGAGCCACAGTGCAGCGCCTCCAGGTGGCTGTGGAAGAGGCTGAACTCTTCCCCATTGATGACGTCTTTGTGGGGATGTGCCTGAGAAAGCTGGGGGTGAGCCCCATGCACCACGCTGGCTTCAAGACTTTCGGAATCCGGCGGCCCCTGGACCCTCTAGACCCCTGTCTGTACCGAGGGCTCCTTCTGGTCCACCGCCTCAGCCCCCTGGAGATGTGGACCATGTGGGCACTGGTAACAGACGAGGGGCTCAAGTGTGCAGCTGCCCCCTTATCCCAGCTTCCTGGGGTGGGCTGAGAGAGTGGACTGTTTAATTTTTCAATCATGATAAGAAATCAAGAACCCTGCAACCTGGCCCTTGACAGGCTACAGGGAACGCTGACTTTGTTTTCGTAAAGCCCTCCCAAACCTTGCTGACTTTGATTAAAACACTGAAATCTGGCTAACTTGTACCAATATGTGTTAAATGGGCAAAGCATGCAAATGCTGCCAGAACTCCACGAGGCACCGCGGCACTCCTGGAGCCCTGGGACTCTTCTAGTCGGGTGGGGGGCTGGGGTGGGGGGAGGTGCACAGCCGGCAAAGGAGGGCCACTGCACAGGACTCCAGAATACACACAGAAACATTTTCTCTTTTAAATGCAAAAAAATTATTTTCCTTCAGATACAATAGAGAAACTCCAAGCAAAAAAGGAAATGAGAAGCGTGTGTTGGAGTAAGTCCTGTTGTGAGCACCAGGTAAACACTGCATATTCAGTCCCATAAGAACAATGGACTTCTCGCTCCTCAGCCTGAGATATCCTTACAGGGCACTGAGGCCAGAAGGCATTAGAAACACCCAACACAAAGAAATCTTATAAACAGGACAGTCTCCCTTTTCCCCCCAAACTCACGTCCCTATGGAGGAAGCAAATACTGAATCATATTAGAAAATGTAAATAAGATGGGAAAACTGAGGTTAAACAGTTACTGAACTTGTGGACATGATAGAGAAGGCCCCCTCTCTCTGGCCAGGTTGGTGAAATGCTCTGGGTGGAAGGTAAAAAGATGCATGGATGGGTGAGAGGGTAACTCTGCTGAGTGGGGTGAAATGTTAAATAGGGTGCTATTTAACCCATGGGCTAAGAGCCAGGTCCAGTACAAGCCTGAGACGGTGGGGACAGGGGTCAGGCACTCACAGCGACCTCTGGTCTGATGGGCCCAGGCAGGACCTGCCACTGCCTCTGTACAGAGGAAGCCGTGCTAACCCGGGGCCGGGTGGTGTCTGCCCTTGCCTTCCCCAGGCTGAGCGGGCAGATGCAGGCAGCTCTGTGAGGCCTCAATCCTCACGCAGGTAGGCCTCCTGCTCCTCCGGCTCGGCCCTCTCATTCCCGTCCTCCTGGGTTTTCTGTCGGAGTTCTTCTGTCTGTGCTTCTGCCAACTTGGTTTCCGCCTTCTGGGAAAGCTGGCGTACCTCCTGCACCTGCGATTTCACCAGCTGGATGTGACTCCTGGCTGTTATGGAGGCCTGGTCCGCGCCTGCCGGAAGATGGGCCATTTATGCTGAGTGGATACAAGGAAAGCCTGGGGGCTCTTTGTGGTTGTACCTGAGCCCTCCCCGCAGAGTAGAGAACCTTCTACCTATACAGGTCGGTTTTCCTCTCTATTGTCAAAACCCTGGCATTTTCCTCCAGCTATCAGCAGTCATCATAATTATAAAATGCAACTCCCACAATCATCTTTATAGCTGCACAACTCTTAGTATAGGTGTTTTAAGATTTTAATTTTTTAAACTACATTCAAGTAATAAATTTCTACCTGACAAATGAAGAGATCACTAACAAAATTGTCAAAGCTCTATCTTTTGGAAGTTTAAAGAGCATCTTTCTCATCCTTTAAAATGTTACTATAAAGTAACATTTCATCTACTAATTAATACTAGATGGGCTGCTGTTCAACTAATGAACCACTAAGGCCAATTAATCTTTTTTAAAAATTACTGTATTCACATGGAATACACAGTAAAAAATTGACTCTAAATTGACATAATGGCATAAACAGTATTTACTGAACACATTTTGCAGTTTTATTTTTAAGTGCTATCATTTTTTGATACCCGTTGCTAGTGTATTTCATCATATGAAAGTGAGTCACCGGGCCTGGTGCACTGGGAAGACCCAGAGGGATTGGGTGGAGAGGGAGGTGGGAGGGGGGACCGGGATGGGGAATACATGTAAAAAAAAAAAAAAAAAAAAAAAAATGAACTATTTTCAACAATGGAAAAAAAAATAAATAAACATATTGTAAACAGTTAAAAAAAAAATTAAAAAAAAAAAAAAAAAGATTCTTGAGGACAGGCGAGGGGATCTACTTGTCTTGTAGCTGCCCAAGACAAGCCTGTTATGTAAGTTTCCTTCATATTAAACCTGCCATCTGTGGTCTGCAAAAAAAAAAAAAGAAAGTCACTCAGTCGTGTCTGACTCTTTGTGACCACATGGACTACACAGTCCATGGAATTCTCCAGGCCAGAATACTGGAGTGGGTAGCCATTCCCTTCTCCAGGGGATCTTCCCAACTCAGGGATAGAATCCAGGTCTCCTGAATTGCAGGTGGATTCTTTACCAGCTGAGCCACCAGGGAAGCTCATATAGATGTGCATATTTAATTCATCTACAGAACACTCGAGCAGTTCTTTTCTATCTTACTGCATTAAAGAGAACCTTTAGTACAATGTTAAAAGGAAGTGGAGAACAGCAGGCACCCTTATTTCTGACATTGATGGAAATGTTTCTTATATTTCACTATGATGTACGGCTACTTTTATCATCTTAGGAAAACTATAATTGTACTTAATTTAGATTTAAATCATAAATGGACACTACATTTTACTGAAGCTTTTTGGGGCATACATTGATATGATTACAGAGGTGGCTTTTCTCCTTAAATCTACTGCAGATAACCTTAAGCGGTGAATTAAATGTTGGTAGGTTTTTGGGTTTTTTCACTATATGTACGTAAGACCCTTTAAACTATTTTTACTGAAGTCGAGTTGATTTACAATGTCTTAATTACCGCTGCACAGGAATGTGACTCAGTAATACAGATGTTCTTTTTGCAAATATTCTTTTCCATTACGGTTCATCATAGGATACTGAATATGGTTCTCTATGTAATGCAGTAGGACCTTGCTGTTTGTCCATTCTATACATAAAAGCTTTTACCTGCTAATCCCAACCTCCCAGTCCATCCCTCCCCCAGCCCCTCAGCAACCAGCAGCCTGTTCTGTGTCCATGTTTGTTTCACAGATAGGTTCATTTGTGTCATATTTTACATTCCACATATAAGTGATATAGTATGTGTGTTTTTCTCCTTCTTAGTATGATAATCTCTAGTTGCATCCATGTTGTTGCAAATGGCATTCTTTCTTTTTTATGGATGAGTAGTATTCTGCTGTATATATGTACCCCCATCTTCTTTCTCCATTCATCTGTTGATGGATATTTAGGTTGTTGCCATGTTTCGGCTATTGTAAATAGTGTTGCTATGAACACAGGATTGCATATATCTTTTTGAATTATAGTTTTGTCTGGGTACATGCCCAGGAGTGGGATTGCTCCATCATATGTAGTTCTTACTTTTCTGAGTCATCTCCATAGTTTTCTGTAGTGGCTACACCAACTTACATTCCCACCAATAGTATACAAGGGTTCCCTTTTCTCCACACCCCCTCCAGCATTTGTTATTTGTAGACTTTTTAATGATGGCCATTCTGACTGGTGTGGGGTGGTACCTCATTATAGTTCTGATTTACATTTCTCTAATTAGTGATGTTGAGCATCTTTAAATGTGCCTATTGGCCATATGTATTTCTTTGGAGAAATATCTTACATGTTCTGCCCATTTTCTGATTGGGTTTTCTTTTTGTTGCTGTTGCTGCACTGTATGAGCTGTTTGTGTATTTTGGAAATTAAGTCTTGTCGGTTCACACTGTTTGCAATTATTTGCTACCATTCTGTAGGCTCTCTTTTTTGTTTGTTTCCTTTGTTGTGCAAAAGCTTCTAAGTTTGACTGTGTCCCATTTATTTACTTTTTTTTTTTTTTTTGAGGCTCAACAAAGAGTTTATCAAAGAGGGGGAACATCCAGCTAAGACTAGAACCTCAGAAGGTTAGAAACACACCTATTTTAAGGTTTGCAGCCTAAACGTCAGATGGGAGTAATAAGGAACCCCGATGAAGGACTCCTCACATAGAATTCCATCACAAATTAACAACAGGTTATCATAAGTGAGGGAAATGGCAGTATAGCAGAGAGAATTTATTTTAACTTATACCTCTAATTAAGCAACATCTGAAACTTTTTTGTTTAGTGGAAAGTCTGTTTATCTACTGCTTAATAATACCCCCAAACACACACACACACATATATATATAACTCACATACCATTAAATTCCCCCTAAGGCATACAATTCAGTGGTTTTTTCAGTATAGTCACAAATTGGTCAGACCATCACCGCTAATTTCAGAACATACAGTGTCAAGTGTGAACTGTTAGTTGCTCAGCAGTGTCCAACTCTTTGCAACTCCATGACTGTAGCCTCCCAAGCTCCTTTGTCCATGGGATTCTCTAGGCAAGAATACTGGAGTGGGTTGCCATTTCCTTCTCCAGGTTTACTTTTATCTGTATTACCTTGGGAGGCTGACCTAAGAAAACACTGGTATGATTTATGTCAGAGAATGTTTTGCCTATGTTCTCTTGATAGGTTTTTTTTTCCCCCAATGTTGAATTAAAATTGTATTTTGAAGGTATATGGCTATTTTTAATTTATATCTATCCACAAGTGATACTGAGCTGTAGGTTTTTGTTCTAGTGCTATTCTAGTCCAGTCTGGGTTCAGGCCTATGGTGGCTTTGGTGGTGGTGGTTTAGTCATCAAGTTGTGACTGACTCTTTGCAGCCCCATGGACTGTAGCCCACCAGGCTCCTCTGTCCAGAGAATTTCTCAGGCAAGAGTAGCTATGCTCAACATCATATAATTATTAGAGAAATGTAAATCAAAACTATAATGAGGTACCACCTCACACCAGTGGGTTGCCATTTCCTTCTCCAGGGGGTCTTCCCAACCCAGGGATGGAACCTGTGTCTCCTGCATTGGCAAGCGTATTCTTCATACCATGGAAGCCCATGGTGGCTTTAGACAGTTCTAACAGTTGGGAGGCTTGTCATCATTTTCTGGTACACTTCCTGTAACACAGGATTTGTTTCGTGAAGATTTGATAAAACTCTCGCACAAAACTACGTGGACTTAGTGTCTCATTTGGGGGCACAGATTTTTTTATGAAAACTGCTTCGACTTTTGTGGCTGCTCCTCTTGCTTTGATTCTTCCTGGGCCAACCTAGGATTTACATAAATATCATAGTATTCTCTTATGATTAAAAAAAATTCTCTAACAGCTCTTTCTGGGCTTCCCTGGTGGTCCAATGGTTAAGAATCCATTCGCCAATGCAGGGGACATAGGTTTGATCCTTGGTCGGGGAAGATTCCACATGCTGAGGGGTGCCTAAGCCTCTGTGCTACAGCTACTGAGCCTGTGCTCTGCAACAAGAGAAGCCACCACAGTAAGAATCTTGAGTGCCAAAGACCGTGCACCAAAGACCCAGTGCAGCCAAAAATAGATAAAACTATAATGGCTCTTTCTGATGTTACTTCTGCTCTCAAAGTTATACTTACTAAACCTTATTTTCTTTATTCTTGACAAGGAACCGGGTTTTTTGCCTTTTCGACTATTTAGTCTTCTTATACCTTTTATTTGGCACTGTCTGAATCTGCTTGCTTTTCCTAACTTTCTGGGCTAAAAGTTTATTTTCAGGACCTCTTGGCACAGGGAACATTACCTGTCATTTATGGTTGCTGTGTTTGTATTTATGACATGCACCTTGAAATAAGGGGTGCGCTTCTATTTAAGAGCCACTTTGTCTACAATGCTCTAGGTCTCTGCTATTAATGAGACTTGTTATGATAGTTCTGAGTACTTTCAAATTTCCATTTTTCTTTATTGAAGTACAGCTGATTTACAACAGTCTAGAAATTTTAGGTGTACAACATAACTATTCACAACTTTTAAAGGTTCTAAACCACTTCGTTATTATAATAATATTATGTACAGCTCTATTTCTCGTGCTGTCCATCTCTGTAGTTTATTTATTTTATACATAGTAGTCTGTACCTCTTCATCCCCTTCCCTCTCCCCACTGGTAACCACTAGTTTGTTCTCTATACCTGTGAGTCTGTTTTGTTATATTCACTAGTTTTATTTTTTAGATTCCACACGTAAGTGATATACAGTACTTGTTGGTGTCTGGCATTTTACTAAGCCTAAACCCTGCAAGTACATCCAGGGTTGCAAATGGCAAAACTTCATTCTTTTGTGGCAGAGTAGTATACACACACACATCTTTATTAATTCATCTGCTGATGGACACTTAGGTTGCTTTCAAATCTTGGCTATTGTAAATAATGCTATGAACATAGGAGTGCATACATCTTTTCAAATTCATAGTTTAGATTTCTTCAGATATATACCCAGGAGTAGAAAGTAACTAGGGCTTCCCAAGTGGCACTAGTGGTTAAGAATCCACCTGCCAATGCATGAGACTTAAGAGAAATGGATTTGATCCCTGGGTTGGAAAGAGCCCCTAGAGGAGGAAATAGCAACCCATGCCAGTATTCTTGCCTGGAGAATCCTCACGGACAGAGGAGCCTGGCAGGCTACAATCCACAGGGCTGCAGAGTTGGACACGACTGAAGCAACTTAACCCACATGCAGTTTTATTATTTATTTTTACAATTCTTTTAAAAAAATGTTTTGAATAGTTGATTTACAATGGTGTGTTAGTTTCAGGTGTACAATAAAGTGAATCACCTGTACATATACATCTATCTACTCTTCTTTAGATCCTTTTCCCATATAGGTCACTACAGACTGTTGAGTTCCTTGTGCTATACAGTAGGCCCTTATTAGTTACCTGTTTTATATACAGTAGTATGTATGTGTCACTCCTAAGCTTCCAATTTATCCCTACCCTCAACCTTTTCCTCTGAAAACTATAAGTTTGTTTTCTGTATTTGTGACTCTATTTCTCTTTCGTAAGTAAGTTACTTTGCTTTTTTTTTTTGGTTCCATGTATAAGCGATACTGTATACTGTTTTCTCTAACTTGGTTAAGTATGACTCTCTCTAGGTCCATCCATATCGTTGCAGGATTATTTCATTCTTTATTATGGCTGAGTTATATTCCACTGCATAGATGTACCACATCTTTCTCATTGCTGCAGCTGCTCCTATTGTGGAGCATGGGCTCTAGGGCATGTGGGCTCAATGATTGCAGTTCCCAAGCTCTGGAGCACAGGATGAGTTGCTCCTTGACATGTGGGATCTTCCTAGACCAGGGAACAAACCTACGTGTCCTGAATTGGCAAACAGATTGTCACCACTCCTGTTGACGGATAGTTTGGTTGCTTCCACATCTTACCTACTATAAGTGGTGCTGTAGTCAATATTGGTGTGCCTGTATTTTTTTGAATTATGGTTTTCTCCGGATATATACCCAAGAGTGGGATTGCTGGATCATATGGTAGTCCTATTTTTAGTTTTTTAAGGAACCGCCATGCCCTTCCCATAGTGGTTATACCAGTTTTTCATTCCCGCCAATAGTGTAGGAGGGTTCCCTTTACCCTTTCAGCATTTATTGTTTGTCATTTTTTGATGATGGCCGGTGTGAAGTGACATCTCATTGCCGTTTTGATTTGTATTTCTCTAATTAGTGATGCTGAGTGTCTTTTCATATGCTATTGGCCATATGTATTTCTTTTTTGGAGAAATATCTACTTGACTGTTCTGCCCATTTTTTGATTGGGTTTTTTTGTTGTTGCATTGTATGAGCTGTTGGTGTATTTTGGAGATTAATCCTTTGTGGGCTGCTTCATTTGCAAATATTTTCTCCCACACTGAGGGTTTTATTTTTGTTTGAGTTCCTTTACTATACAAAAGCTTTTATGTCTAATTAGATCCCATTTGTTTTTATTTTCATTATTCTAGGAGGTGGATCAAAAAAGATATTGCTGCAATTTATGTCAGAGAGTGTTCTGTGATTTCCTCTAAGAGTTTTATCATATCCAGCCTTACACTTAGGTCTTTAAATCCATTTTGAGGTTATTTTTGAGTATGGTGTTAGGGATTGTTCTAATTTCATTCATTTACTTGTAGATGTCGTTTTCCCAGCACCACTTCTTGAACAGACTGTCTTTTCTCCACTGTATATTCTTGCCTCCTTTGTCATAGATTAGTTTGACCACAGGTGTGTAGGTTAATTTTTGAGGAATCACAATACTGTTTACCACGGTGGCTACACTGTTTTACATCATCACCAACAGTGTACTAGGGTTCCCTTTTTTCCACACTCTCACCAACATTTGTTATTTTGATCCTTTTGATAACAGCGATGCTGACAGGTTTGAGGTGATATCTCATCGTGGTTTTGATTTGCATTTCCCTTAGCGATGCTTAGCGACGCTGTGTATCCTTTCATGCACCTGTTGGCCATCGATATGTCTTTGGAAAATTGTTCAGGTCTTCTGTCCATTTTAAAATCAGGTGTGTTTTTTATATTGAGTTGTGCAAGTTAAATTTCCATTTTTATTTTTGGTGAGGAAGGGGATATCAAGAAATATTTCTGAGTCTTTGTCACTTAGCATAAAAATCAATTTCTGTACATGTTTATATACTATTTGTATTGGAAGAGGTTTTTTTTGGGGGGGGGGAGGGCAACATTTTGTATTCAATATATATATATTTGGTCAGGCTTTAAAAAAATAAATCCTGTTCCAACACCTAATTGCTTTTTTAATGTTTTGACCTGTGATCCTGAGATGTGTGTAAAGCTCAATTTCTCCTTGTAAATCTATCTGATTTTGCCTTATTAGGCACACATTTCAAGAATGATGTCTTGATAAACTGTTCCGTCCCTTTTAATGCTTTCTGTCTTGAATCCCTCTTCTAACACTGCTGTCACCTTTTTGCTCAGCTTTTTTAATAATATTTCAGTTTATCTTCTTAAAATACCCAGTCTTCCTATGTGTTGTTTTAGATGTGCCTTTGTAAACAGTTTTAGCTAGAATTATTTTTTAATATGAAGTATCATTTAATAAGTAAATTTATTCTTTATTGTGATTACTGATGGTTGAATGTGTTCCTTTACTCTGCACTTTCTAATTAACAGGCTTTATTTCTTCAACCTTTAGCCTTAACTGAATTTATTAAGTTTTCTTTGTCCCTTCCCCCAATTCTTCTGAAGTGTTTAACAATGTCTAATGTTAAGCCAATGTCTCCCTTCTCAGTGTCTCCCTGTCTCAAACAATGAAGCTTAGCATGCTTTCACTGCTTTCCCAAACTGATTTGATTACTTAAAAATTTAACATTCAGAGCTTCTGACAAGTTGTACTAAATTCTGTTCATTATTTTTGTATCGCAGGTGCTTCTGATTTTTTTTTTGTAAAACACTTTTTCCAGAAAGCACATGCAGCTGGTAAACCTTGAGTCTCTGTAAAGGTCTTTCATGCTTACATTTTAATAATATTTGAATGGTTACTGATTTGTCACCTTTTATCTTAGGGTTGCAGATATCCTTCCTCTGGGGCTTTATCTTATGGCTCAGAAGGTAAAGAATCTGCCTGCGATGCAAGAGACCAATGGGTTTGACCACTGGATCAGGAAAATCCCCTGGAGAAGAATGGCTACCCACTCCAGCATTCTTGCCTGGAGAATTCCATGGACAGAGGAGCCTGGTGGGTTACAGTCCATGGGGTCACAAAGAGTTGGACACTACTGAAAGACTAATACACACACACACATATACTTCCTTTGTAAGTATTCTATTTTTTTCTTATAGTTTTCAGGATTTTTCTTTGTATATTTTACATTCTGAATTTTTTTTCTTTTCATTCTGAGTATTTTTTTGCCATGTGAGATACACTTATATTTTAAATTCTGTTCAGAACCTTTGTGAGCCCTTTCAGTCAGTTCTGGGAAAATGTCTTTTTCTTAGATAATGCTTGTAGTTTACTTTCCCTCTCTTCCTGCTAGATCTTAAGCTGGCCTAGTGAGTGGCCAAAGCTGCCTGGCGATGTTCTCAGCAAGTCTCCCTCTTCACTGTACCTGGAAACCCTGCTCCCATCTTTGGTGTGCCATTAATGCTACTTTACGCTTCTGTTGTTTCGTTCTTCATTCCAGTCCTGTTTGCAGAATCTGTTGATTCCTTGGGCATTAGTTAACTAAGAATTCTTTCTGTATTTACTTCAAACATCTTTCACATCTTTAAGATTTCAGAAAACAAAAACAATTTAACAAATCAGTTTCTTAAAAATTTTTATGGTGACACAGTTTGGGACCATTCAGGTAAGATGTCAAATGAGGATTTCCCTCAAAATACATTAGAAAATCATTCAGCCTCAAGCCCACTGGATGGATAGTGATGGTTAAAAAACCCCTGGTGAATGGGGCACCACTCTATACTGGGAGGCACTAAAGTAGAGAGGATGACGCCCTGGCTACCAGAGACAAAGGCTTTAGGATTTGACCTAACTTGCTGAATCCCAGTTTGGCTGCTGATTTACTGGGTACCACAGCATGCTCGGTGAATTATTTAACCCCCTCTATCTGCCAGTTTCTTCATCTGTAGAGTGGGAATGATAATAATAACTCCTACTTTAAAAGAACTGCATGGATTAAAAGTATCTATAAAATGTTTACCACAAAGCCTGAGATATAGATAATATTCACAGATTATCTGGGCTGTTAAAAAGTAAAATCCTTAACTATTTGGAAGCAATCAAAATTTCTAACTGACAGTTTTACTATTTTTCATTTTCTAGATACCACCTAGCTTCTACTGGTCTGCTCTGCAAGGGCATTAGTTTTTTCTTTGTGTAAATGAAAACAATATTGATTAATATGTTGGAAACGGGAACATCTTCTCACAAAGTAAGAGCCACAGTATCGCTCATTTTTCAGCTAGATGAAAACTCCAACAGCACCTCTACAGTAAAAACTTTAACCTACCAGTCTGGTAGGCAGCTTCTGCTGCCATCTCTGAAAGACTGACGGCAGTCATCCAGGTGGTTTCCAACTTCAGGTACTCTTGTTGTTTTGAAGTCATCTATGAATTAAACAAAAGCACTTCAGACAACATGACTCTTCATTAGTATTAAGCACATTTAAATGGACTTCTTCAGTTCAACAGCAGTTTGAGAGAACTGCTGCTGCTAAGTCACTTCAGTCGTGTCTGACTCTGTGTGACCGCACAGATGGCAGCCCACCAGGCTCCCCCGTCCCTGGGATTCTCCCGGCAAGAATACTGGAGTGGGTTGCCATTTCCTTTTCCAATGCATGAAAATGAAAAGTGAAAGGGAAGTCGCTCAGTCGTGTCCGACTCTTAGCAACCCCACGGACCGCAGCCTACCAGGCTCCTCAGTCCATGGGATTCTCCAGGCAAGAGTACTGGAGTGGGGTGCCATTGCCTTCTCCGGTTTGAGAGAACAGTTACTGGTAAAACACCTTCCTTCAATAATTTAGATACCACAGTGAGGTAAGAGCACTAACACAGAATAATCCAAGTAACTCTTTGCTTACCTCAACTCTGGCTCCTATAATCACCTGCCATACTTCATCTTCCTCCTGTGAATTCATTTTCCCAAGTAAACTTGTGTATTGTCGGTACAGAGAAATTAAGGTATAAACAGCCTAAAAATACAGAACAAATTAGTAAAATGAGTGAGGCATATTAGGGTGAGACGTACATCTCAATGTGATGGAAGTCCCATTGCTGCAAACTGGCTGTTCAGTCCTCCTGTCTCATTGAACCTCACCACTCTATGAAGTAAAGGTGTTATCTTAGGACATCAGTATCTCTTGTTAACGTTTGTGTTTTAAAATCTTGTTAGCAATTCAGACAAAGAGAACAAAATGCAGATGGAAAACTCAGAAGGCTGAGAATAAAGCTACTGGAAAATGAAGGTAAAGAAACATATATATTACTTTAAATGCTTCTGATTATCCATATACTCTATTAGGTCAGTGACTTTCAAAACTATCCTCACCCAGAAACCCCTGGTGTTGTTGGTAGCCCCAGCTGAACCAGATCAGCATGCTCCCCCTGTCTTATATACTGAGCTGCTATATTTAAGATTTTTCTTTTAAAAACGGTTCCTGGACAGTGAGGCCAACCAGAGCCCCTTCCCTGCGGGTAAGTGTCCCATTTACAGGGACCCTACATTAAATGAGGATCAGCAAAACTAATTTAAAAAGATATATGCACCCCTATGTCTACAGCAGCCCTATTTACAGTAGGCAACGTATGGAAGCAACCTAAATGTCCACTGACAGATAATGCATAACGAGGATGTGGACATACAATGAGCCACAAAAAGAATGGAATGATGCCATTTGCAGTAACATGGATGATCATACTAAGTGAAATAACCCAGAGAAAGACATATATCACATATATGTGGAGTCTAAAAAAATAAATGATACAAATGAACTTATTTACAAAAAGAAACAGACTTACAGATTTGGAGAACAGACTTGTGGTTGCCAATGGGGAGAGGATGGGTGGGTGAGGGATGGATTGGGAGTTTGGGATTAGCAGAAGCAAATCATTATATAAAGAATGCATAAACAACAGAGTCCTACTATATAGCACAGGGAACTAAATTCACTATCCTGTGATAAACCATAATGGAAAAGAATATGAAAAATGTTTGTGTGCATATATACATATATATATGCTAAATATGTACGTATATATACATATATATAAAACAATCACTTTGCTATAGAGCAGTAAATAACACTAAATCAACTATACTTCAATAAAAACACTAAAATGAATAAATAAAAGTAATAAAGGCCATATATGACAAACCTACAGCTAACATCATACTCGATGAAAAATTGAAAGCATTTCCTCTGAGATCAGGAACAAGACAAGGATGTCCATTCTCATCACATTTACTCAACATAGTTTTGGAAGTCCTAGTCACAGCTATCAGAGAAGAAAAAGAAAAGGAATCCAAATTGGAAAAGAAGTAAAACTTTTACAGATGTTTACAGATGGCATGATACTATACACAGAAAATCCTAAAGGTGCTACCAGAAAACTATCAGAGCTCATCCATAAATTTGGTAAAGTTGCAGGATACAAAATTAATACACAGAAATCCCTTGCATTCCTATACACTAACAGCAAAAGATCAGAAAGAGATTTAAGGAATCAATCCGATTTACCACTGCAACAAAAAGCATAAAACACCTAGCAATAAACCTAAGAAGGCAAAAGACCTGTACTCAGAAAATGTAAGATACTGACAAAAGATATCAAAGATGACACAAACAGATAAAGAGACATTCCTGGACTGCAAAAATCAGTATTGTGGAAATGACCATACTATCCAAAGCAACCTACAGATTCAATGCAATCCCAATCAAATTGCCAAGGGCATGTTCACAGAATAATTGGAATAAAAATTTTACATTTTATATGGAAACACAAAAAACCCCAAATAGTGAAAGCAATCTTGAGAAACAAGAATGGGGCTGGAGGAACCAGGCTCCCTGACCTCAGACTACTACAGAAAGTAATCAAAATAACATGGTACAGAAATATAGATAATGGAATAGGATTAGAAAGTTCAGAGACAAACCCACAAAACTATGACCACCTAACCTATGACAAAGAAGGCAAGAATATACAATGGAAAGAAGACAGTCTCTCTAATAACTGGTGCTGGGAAAACAGGACAGCCACATGCAAAAGAATGAGAACACTCCCTAACACCATACACAAAAAATAATCTCAAAATAGATTAAAGATCTAAATGTGAAGCCAAATACTATAAACTGTTCAGAGGAAAATATAGGAAGAACAGTCTTTAACATACATCACAGCAAGATCTTTTTGATCCACTGCCTAGAGTAATGAAAATAGGGTCTAATTAAAGCTTTTGCACAGCAAAGGAAACCATAAACAAACTAAAAGACAACCCTCAGCATGGAGAAAATATGTGCAAATGAAGCAACTGACAAGAGATTAATCTCCAAAGTATACAAATGGCTCATGCAGCTCAATATCAAAAAAACAACCCAATAAAAAAATGGACAACAGACCTAAATAGACATTTCTCCCAAAAAGACATACAGATGGCCAAAAAGCACATGAAAAGATGCTCAACATTACTAATTAGAGAAATGCGGGGGCGGGGGGGGGGGGGATGCAAGCTACAATGAGGTATCACCTCACATTGTCAGAATGGCCATCATTAAAAAAATCTATAAACAAACTCTGGAGAGGGTGTGGAGAAAAGGGGACCCTCCTACACTGATGGTGGGAATGTAAACTGGTACAACCACTATGGAGAACAATAGGGAGGCTCCTTAAAAAACTAAAACTAGAACTACCATATGACCCAACAATCCCACTCTTAGGCATATATCCAGAGAAAGCCATAATTTAAAAGGTGGCATATACCTCAGTGTTCACTGCAGCGCTATTTACAACAGCCAGGACATGGAAGCAATCAACAGAGAAATAGATTAAAAAGATGCGGTACATATATACAATAGAATATTATTCAGTCATAAAAAGGAATGAAATAGTACCATTTGTAGGGATATGGATGGATCTAGAGGGTGTCGTACAGAAGGAAGTAAGTCAGAAGGAGAAAAAAAATCACCTAATATTGCTTATATGTGCAATCTAGAAAAATGGTACAGGTAAACTTGATTTGCAAAGCAACTTTTTTTGGTCAAGGGCCAGAGAGTGGTCTGTTTGCAACTATTCAACTCATGAAAGCAGTCATAGACAATACACAAATGAACCTGGCCATGTTCCAATCAAACTACAAACACAGGCAAGACTGGATTTGATCTGTGAGCCATAGTTTGCTAATGATGGATTTAGATGATCAAGATTTAACGAGGAGACACTTACCTTAGTATATTCAGTGATTGCTTCAATCAACGCATATGTAGTCTGAGAGAGAAAGGTAGAGGTGCTATCTGTTACCAAAGACACAGCCCTCCTCATTAATGTATCGTTACTAAGAGAATGAGGCTCCGGTTTCTGAAAGACACAAACATTTTTACTTAACTTTTAACCTAAAGCTCAAGCGGAGATCACAGCCAAGGGAAAAACGTAATTCTCACACTGCAACTACACTCTGCTGCTTCTATGTTAACTTTTTCTTTTAAAGCTTTATTTGTGCTATTAAAGACAACATATGAAAATGATTCTACTGTATGCTTTCTACCTACTTTTATTCATCATTCTCTGCTCCGAAGAGCAAAGTATTCCTTTTTATAAAAGACTAGTACTTATAATCACAAATTTCACAAGGTTATGATTCTTCATTACCACAGTGCTAGATGCTTGGGATATAAAGATAAGAATCTTAAAGATTTCAGATGGAGGAGGAGGAGGAGTTGAAGCTAAGAGTGAACTAGAAAATTAATACAATCAAGTACCATGGGTGCTATGCAAGAAGTCCGGAGGGGTGCACATAAGGAAGCAATCACATCTATGTTAAATGAGAATAGTTTAGAAAAGGTTTCACAGAGTTGATAAGGAGTTAAGCTGAGCCTAAGAAAGTATAAACGGCTGGTGGAGAGGGCGAATCCCTCGACTGAGCTGTACATGTACAGTCTTGGGTGGGGGGAGCAAGCATTCTTTCCTCTGACCTTAGCTGTTGTATTTCAAAAAAACAAAAACCAGTATAACCAGCTCATGAGTTAAGGGAGCTGTGACCACCTTGATTAAATACTAGCAACTGTGATGACTCTCCCCTTTTTCTCCCTCAGCAGAGGACTTATTGTATCAGAACTAACAAACCAATCCCTCTATCATCTGTTATCTCATTTTTGCTATTTAGAGCATAAACACATTGAGGGGGCCTGGGTTTGATCCCTGATCCGGAAACTAGATCCAACATGTGGCAACTAAGAGTTCACATGCCACCATAAAGATCAAAGATCTCATGTACTGTAACTAAGACCTGGTGCAGCCAAAAAAAGATACATGAATAAATCATGAATTATATTTATCACAGTTACATTTCATTCGATCAAATAAACAAGAATTTATTATGTACCTCTTGCATTGAGGAGCTATAGAGCAAAGAATGATATCCCCTCTGCTCATGAAAAGCTAATTTTGACTTATTCTGATAAGTTAAGTCTACATAATACCCTCCTTTTTTAAAATACAAATTTATTTTTATACCATGCTCAGTTGTGTCTGACTCTTTGCAACCCCATGGACTGTAGCCCACCGGACTCTTCTGTCCATGGGATTTCCTAGGCAAGGATACTGGAGTGTGTTGCCATTTCCTCCTCCAGGGGACGTTCCCAACCCAGGGATCAGGCCCCAGTTCTCCTGTGTCTCCGGCACTGCAGGCGATCCTTTACCTGCTGAGCCATCAGGAAAGCCTATCTATTTTTGGTTTCATCAAATGCCTCCCATTCTACAATGCTTATTTACTTGTCCCTCACCACAGTCCAGGTATTATTACTCTGGTTGGGGAAGATTCCACATGCCCGTGAGGCAACTAAGCCCCAGTGTCACAACTCCTGAGCCCGCGCTCCGCAACATGAGAAGCCTATATCCAGCTACAGAGTAGCCCCTGCTCGCCGAAACCAGAGAGACCCCGAGTGCAGCAGTGAAGACCCAGCACAGCCAGAATGAATAAATACGTTAAAAAAACACAGGGGGTGGGGTCTGTGTCTGAAGACAAGCAGGATTAGAATGGACAGGTATCCTGGGTTAGATAAAACAAGGAGGAAAATGCATATGATGCAAGCAGGGCATATTTGGGAATCCAGCCTGGTTGCTGAACTATGAGGAAGTTCTCTGGATTTTAGTTTTTTGACACAGAATGGAGAGCCACTGTAGGCTCTGAAGAATGGAAGTGGCAACGCTATTCCTGCAGGAGAGAGAGTTGAGGCTCCTGTCTACCAAAGGCTCCTGACATCTGACCTAGATCTGAGTGAGGTAACTAGGGCTTAAGAACAAGATGCAAACTAGAAAGGACAAACAAAAAAATCTTTTGGAGGAAGAAAGAAAAGGCTGTCCTAACTGTGACTGAAAATGACCTGGCGTCCCAAGTAAGCCTTTTTAGGTTAAAGATGATCAGTCTGCAGAGATGAGGGCTGAAGTAAGGCACCGAAAGGAAAGGGCTCATGAAGTGAGCCTCAGAAGATGCTGAAAATAATTGTGAAAAAGGGAATTAATCTTGCTGTCATGATTAAACACACATTTAAGTATCAAGTACATTTTGCCAAAATGTTTGCTGGTTTCCTATTCAGTTCTTCCTGATAAAGTATATAACCAATGGTTTTAAAATAAGATATCACTTCCCTATCAGCTGTCTACTTGACAGCTCCACTTAGACGTCATTTCCAAAACTGAACTCTTAAATTTTCTCCTCCCAAAACCCACTCCTCTCCATCCCAGTATCTGGCAACACCATTCTTTCAGTTGCTGAGGCCTTTTAAAACCACTGGAAATTAAGTTATATACTTCACATCTAACCCAACAGCAACACCTGCTGACCATCAGCCCACTTCTCCCCACCTGATTCAGGCCCAGGATCATCTCATGCCTGGACCCCAACTGGTCTTTTTAGTTCCACACAACAACCTTTAAAAACTTATGTCAGTGTGGGAGAAGGTGAGGGTGGGATGTTTCAAGAGAACAGCATCGAAACATGTATATTTATCTAGGGTGAAACAGATCACCAGCCCAGGTTGGATGCATGAGACAAGTGCTCGGGCCTGGTGCACTGGGAAGACCCAGAGGGATCGGGTGGAGAGGGAGGTGGGAGTGGGGACCGGGATGGGGAATACATGTAAATCCATGGCTAATTCATTTCAATGTATGACAAAAACCACTGCAATGCTGTAAAGTAATTAGCCTCCAACTAAAAAAAAAAAAAAAAACTTCTGTCAAGAAAAAAAAAAACCTTATGTCAGGGGTGGGAGGGAGGCTCAAGAAGGAAGGTATATATGTATACTTATAGCTGATTCACATTGTATGGGAGAAACCAACACAACAGTGTAAAGCAACTATCCTCCAATTAAAGATAAAATAAAAACAAATGTCAGACCACAATAATCTTATGTTAAAATCCCGTGGCTTCTTTATCATAATAAATCCTAATGCTTACAACAGCCAACAAAGTAAAACGTAGAAGTACATTTTGACTCGCCGCTATCTGTGAGCTCATGTTTTTCTCTCATTCCACTTTTTCCTCCTCCTCCTCTCCAGAATGTGAGATTTACAAAAGCAGAAATCTTCTTGTGTGTGACACATAAAAGTTGCCCCATAAAGTTTTTCTGAATGAAAAGATTATTGTTCTGTAATACATTCTTTTCTTTCTTCCCTCTTTATACAGTTTGACCAACTTGACATACCAGTTTCTACCAAATGAGACCATCAAAATGAGGATATTAATATATCTGCTCAGCCATGAAACGACGCTGATACAGCATACCATCACCTGGGGCTGGGGAGAGCGCTGGGTGAAAGCCAGTAGAGCCTGTCGGATGCTTCATTGCCTGTTTGAGACTTCAGAGGACACAGTACACAAAAACCCGAAACACTGAGTGACAGATGGTACTTCACCTGGGCAATAGGGACTGCACACAGAGTGACCCCAAATCCCACAGCCACCGTTTTGTGCCATGGTCTTATCAATTCCGAGAAACAGCGCTTCTTCAAGTTAGCCACGACAGGAACACACTGTCTGTACCTAGAAACAGAGTTTAGTAAGTTTAATAAGGCACAACCACCCATCTCTAAGAACCTCTTCAATTTACGTGGAGGGGTTGGAGACTCAAAGTGGGGCCAGGCTGGAACCCAAATGATGACACAGGGTGACTTTTCACAGGACGGGACTCAGGAGGCAACGGGGCGGACAAAAAGGCCTGGACTCGCACAAACAGGCAATCACTACTTGGCTCCCCCCACGAGGGAATGCGGGCGGATGGTGGTGGAGTTTAAGAGGTACCTTGTGCAGACGTGTAAATAGTGGTCTCAAAGCTTTTTAAAAAACTAAGGCCCAAATAAAACGCTGCTGCAGGCAGGATTTAGCGTTGGTCCTCTGGCCTAGACTGCAAGGGATCTGCTGGTTCCTGCGATACGACGTTGAGCCCACAAGCGCTGCTAGGAAAACAAGGCCGGCTTGGAAGCCGACCACTTCCGGGACTCCTCCGCCCTCAGGGAAAACTCCCTCCGGCAAGCCATCGCCAGCCAAGGCCTCTCCCCTTAATTATCCCTTGTGACTTCGAGAGGCCAACCGAAGTCACTTTGCGGGCAGACCGAGACGCCCTCAAAAGACAGACCGAAGTGGGGGAATGCTCTCTCGGCAGGTGAACAACGAAAAAGCCGTCGGTGGGACGTGAAGTCCGGGCTTGTCCCGGGAGGCTGGAGGCCTCAGAGCCGGAGTAGGGGCGGGGCGTCCTCAAAACTCCGAGAGGGGTGGGACGCCGTGACCCGCTCGGCCGAGCAGCGAAGCGCGAGCCCGCAACGCTGGGGGTGCAGTCTGGTTACGGCGCTCTCAGCGTTCCCACTCTCCGTACGACCCTGACCTCCTACACAACCGCAGCGGTACCTGAAAAGCGAGGATACGCTCCGAGAAAGCCAACTCCGTAGAGCCGCCATTCCGCGGCGGCAGGACTCCAGAAGCACACGCCGGAAGTGATGGCACTCCGCGAGCAGGGGGCGGGGAGCGGCCGCCTCTTGAGAGGGCTTAGTCCCATGACCACGCCCCCGCCCGAGAGCGCAGTCGGCATTGGACAGACGAGGAAAGGGGCGGGGCTGGAAGTAACGGCAGAAACCGCGTAGCCAGACACCTAACCGCCGGAGCTTCCGCGTGGGGCGGGGCGGACCCTGGGCTAGAGGAAGCCGAGCGAAGTCGGCCGTCGTGAGGGGTGTTTGGACAGGTTGTCGGGAGAATTCTCTCGTGGCCGTGCGGGCCCGTCAGGACAGAGGTCGGAGGCGGAGCAGCGCCCGGGAGGGCAGGTGGTTGGGGCCGCGGGCGGGGCGGGAGGTGGGAGGGGCAGGGAGCCGGGCCGGCGGCGCTGTCACTTCAGCACCAGGAAGTAGGTGGTCCAACCGGCCAGCAGCAGCGCCCCGATGAGCACCGTGTAGCTGAGGAGCACGAAAGCCAGCAGCTCTCGCAGTAGCTGCAGCACGTGGATGGTGGACGAGGTCGGCATCGCCCTACACGGGAGGCCCGAGGACCTGCGGAGTGGGGGCACGCAGGAGACCCTGAGCACGCCAAGAGGACGGTTCTCTCTCTAGACCAACCTCTGCTGGACACTAAGCAAGCGCTACCGAGTCCGGCACCGTTAGAGGCAGTGTGGACACGGGGCTAGACTAGGACCTCTAAAAAGTAAACACACCTTCCTAAGGCTAAGGAAGCCCAAAGTGCTGATTTTCCCCGTTAACAACCACGTGGACACTGTCTGTATTTACATTATGTAGTTCTTTTAAACCGAACGTTCTCCTCATTGTTTGGCTCCTGATCTGGATTTGAGCTCAGAGGAGGGAAGCCTGGAGAGGAGAGTTCCCAGTTCCCGCTGCTGCACTGGCCTTCATCTCCAACCCTCTCTTCCCGTCCACCTCCTGCATTTTTAATGTTTTGAGTGTTGCTAATGGGCTGATGGAGTAAAGCTTGCTTTTTGCCATCATTCAAGCTGCAGCCCCAGCTGCCAGCGCTGCTTGGGAGAGAAAAAGAGATCCTTCTGAGTAGGGGAAAAGCAGCGGGCACTCACTGCAGCCCTTCTGCAATTTCTGTGGCCCCAAGGCTTATCAGTTTACAAGAGTTTGAGGACCGCTGCTTTGTGGCTAGGCATGCTTGCCCTTCTGGCCAGCCAGGATCGCAGAAGTGCCAAGAGGTGGGTATCAGTTTGACTCTGGGCTTATCTCTTTGCCCATCACGCTCTTGGCATCCGCTCCAGCCCTCTATCTTCCATCACGGATGGAATCAGATGGTTAACAATTACAAACCAATTCTTCACCTCCACTGCTGCCCTACCCAGCAACACCCCTTAGTGCCAGCCACCGACTTCCCTGTCTCCCCATTTCACTCACTCAGCAAAGTTTCCACGACTCCTCCACTGTGGCAGCTCCACGGTCCCTCTCCGGTTTGCTGTCCGAAGGTAGGCTTGTGTGCGCTCCAGCGATGTCGGCAGAGCTGAGGGACTTTCAGGCAGCAGCTGCGCTCACCAACTAGGTGTGGTCTAGAGACCAATCACAATCTCCACGTGGTCCCCGAGCTCTCACGGAGCTGCGCACAGGCAAGTCCAGACCAGGCGGGGCGCTGGCAGGCTTGCCCACCCTCTGCCTGTGTCACCATCACAGCCCACACAGCTCCGAGGTTGCCTGCAAAAGCTCCTGCCTTAGAGGTGCTGAGTGAGTGGCACACACTGGGGACTTCATGGCCCTCCTGCCTGGCTTTTCTAAACAGTGGGTGGGATACAGTCCAGATTCTTTTCTAGCAAACTTCCACAAAGAGCAGTTCCATCCTTGAGTCTCAGACAAGAAGAACCACTGTACATACAACATTCACTTATGACTGCCCAACTAAAGCAAAAACTTTAGCTTTTTTATTTTTGTCTTAAAACATGCAATTCCAAGCATTTGTGTGAGAACTAGCTCAGAAAACCAAGAGCTCTCAAGTGCTCAATTCTAATTCACTGTCGCCGTTTAGAGACTCATCATATAGACACCTTCGCAATGTACCTACTTCCAATTTCAACTCTGCCAAATGTAAGGTAAAAAGAACCAGTCAGGATTCCAGCCAATAAAGAACAGACCCTTTCCCAGATGTAGCAATGAAGGGAAAAGAAAGCACAAACTTTATGCTGCTCCCCGTTCCTCTGCTTTTTGTAGTAGCTTGTAGTTAAGACTATGTTTTGACCTTTAAAAAAAAAAAAGGCAGTGTGGACATCAACCCTTTTATCAACATCATCATCCAGAAGCCAAATGGCTCTCTAATTTGATCAGGATCTCTTATTATCAAATCATTGCCCCACTGCAGCCGGGTTGAAAACAGGAGTGGAACATTATCAAGCTGCGTGCAGGAAGCCAGTGAGTAATTACTCCCCACAGAGACCTGGTCATCTGGAGGGCTGTGTCCTGCCTAGTCACAGGCAAGTATGGCTGAGATTTATATTCTAATCCCACACCAAAGTAACATGCAAAAGGCTACTAAAACAGCCCTGGTTCTGTTACCCTTTAACTCTCACATGCTTCACATGGACATCTGAAGGCAGTTCCGTGTTCCAGCCTTTGTAGACTCTAGTCACCACCCAATCAGGGGTATTTTATACCACGGAGTGGCCTTCCCAGGTGGCTCAGTGGTATAGAATCTGCTTGCCACTGCAGAAGACACGGGTTTGATCTCTGGGTCCGGAAGAACCCCTGGAGAAGGAAATGGCCACCCACTTCAGTATTCTTGCCTGGGAAAATCCCATGGACAGAGGAGCTTAGTGGGCTACAGTCCATGGGGTCACAAAGAGTCAGACCTGACCTAGCAACTAAATAATATCGCAATGGAGTAACTGAAGCTGAGACACATTATATAGCTTGAAGTTCACATGCATCCACTTAGAAGTAAGAGAGTCTGAGAAATTTTACAGTACTGTCTTTGATTGTTGGATGACAAAAAGCATCCTCTATTTTCTACAGTATGTCATTGTTAAACCACAGGACTGAAATATATACAAGGTTCTCAAGTATAATTCATTCTGTTTATCATTCATAGGCTATGCGGTGTCTGTATTTCTCTGCCTTACCATCTTTATCACAGCCCCTCTTACTGGCTGCTTTAGGCACTCAGTTTGTTCTGGTATTTTTTTTTTTTTAAGAAGTTTTTTTTTTTTTTTTGAGTTCAGCTCTGCTGATATAAACAGTACAACTGAGGACAAGAGACAGACTGCATGTCAGATTAATTATAATCCACCTGTTGTGAGGACACAGCTACAGTGGTTCAACACATGGAAATCTCCCTTCCCAGTTCTCTTCAAGAATTAAATGTGCTGTTACCTGGATTCAGGGAGAATGGATACATGTATGGCTGAGTCCCTTTGCTGTCCACCTGAAACTATCACAACATTGTTAATCAGCTACACTCCAATATACAAGAAAAAGTTTAAAGTGCACTGTTTTAAACCTCGTGTAACCATTAGTCTCTTGCTCCACAGTTAAACTACAGTTCAAATACTTATTTCTCTTTTGGCTACAATTCAAAAGTGTACAGAAGGACACAAAATAGCGCCTATGTAGGCTTCTTTATCTACGGAGACTTCTTTTTGTAGGACTGCTGGTGTTGCAGAACCGTCTACCCAACTAGACAAAAAGTCCAGACGTGATGTAAACAATCCACCCTTTCCAAGAATAAATGTACCATTCACGTACCCTTTTTCTCAGTAAGGGCACACTTCTTTGGGACAAAGACTGCTTCAAGTATTAAGTGAACTTACACAAAGGCATATAATATATAATTATCCCCCACTTTCTATTTGCATACAAATGAAGCAATTGAGGTTTTGAAGTCTTACGCTGAATGCATTTCTAGCAGCTGACCTAACTATGCTCAGAGCAAGAGTGGAGAGTCATGAGTGAATGCAGACACATGAGACACAACTGAGCATCTGTTCACAGAACAAAACCCCAGCCAAGGGGACTTGACTGGACTTGAATTGAATCCCAGGAGCCAAAAACACTGATGGACAAGGTGCATTTTATTCTCTACAGCAGCTGAGACTGAGAGCCACTGGGGCTGGAAGGTATAAACTAATCTTCCTGGGCTAACAAGGAGTTGAGAAAGGATTCCTAAAACAGGAATTGCTTTCTTTAAGACCTTTCCAAATACTGAATGTTAAAGGCAAGTTAAATTCACAAGAAGCTAATCTTTTAAATATTCCCTCTTCTACCCCTCATTTTCACATTAAAGAGATTCTTTTTTTTAACGCAGAATTTTTCCTTCACTCATAACATGGCGCGTGCTAACAGAATTTCACTAGAGAAAAAAGAGACAAAAACATGTACAGGTACTAATTAACAACAGAAATGACACCTCGGGGGACTTCCCTGGTGATCCGCTGGCTAAGACTCTGCACTCTCAATTCAGGGGGCCTGGGTTTGATCCCTAGTCAGGGAACTAGATCCCACATGCTGCAGCAAAGAAGATCCCAAGTGCTGCAACTGAGACCCAGTGGAGCCAAATAAATATTTTCTTTTAAAAGAGAAAAGAAATGATACCTGGGGAGGGACACTGACTTTGGACCCCAGCAAAGAGGGGGGGTCAACTAATTTTGCTGGAGACTTGGGCAAGGGCTGTAAAACCATTAATTTAGTCCCCTTCTTGGCCTTAACTCTTTCAGATGCTGGGACGGAGCAGGAGGGAGATTTCCAACTTCGCTGCCAGCACCTTCTCACCTCCCTTCCACAGCCTAGCAGTCTCCCCCGGGAATGGTAGCAGCTGGATGCCTGGATCACCAACAAGCTGTACCGGAGGGGGATGACATCACCAGACCAGGGAGCTGGGTGTTTCCTAGCAAAACAAACACTCGAGACCATGTAAGGAGTGGCTGTAGACTGCTGGGGCAGCAGGTGTGGCACTTACATGGGAGGGGGAGCTGCCAGATGCTGAAGAAAACAAAGCTGTCACTGCTCAAGGCGGGGGGGGGGGGGGGCACCAGCTGGATGGTGGGGCTCACGATGAGCAGGGAAGAAAACTGAAGGCATCTATCACTGAAATTTCTTAAGAGTTAATAACATGTGCACTAAGAACGCATCTTCAAATACATTCTCAGAATGCTGAGTCTTCCTCAGTGTAAAAAGCCCTTGATAAATCGGGGACCCACAACAATTCAGCTGATCACAGAGAGCATAAACTCTGTCCTGGGGCAAGAAGCTCTTCTAAACCTTTGCTTTTTTAGAAGCAGAGGAATCAAAACTTGCCCTGACGACCAGGTAACACAGAGACTGGTGACGCTGGATGTAAGGTGCCATGTTCTACAGGAAGAAACAATCTCAAACTCAGGGATTTGAGATAACCAGCCTCAGGCCCCTAACACTTGGCCACTGCGCTAGGCATGATGCACCTCCAAGAAACTCAGCACTATTTATCAGGGGTTGGACTTCCACATTTATTTTCATTTTTACCTGGTTGGTCCCTGCGTTCTCAAGAACTGGCCCCATTTATGTGGCTGAACAGATTACCCATCCCCACTACCCTTCATATATTTCCAGAGGTCTCTAATGGAGATCCTGGGCTCAGAACATTAAAAACTGGGATTTCTTTTACACAGGCTGAGTCTCTTCCATTCTTCTTTGAGAAATTTAAGAACACAAAAAGAGAAACTGAAAGGAGAAAACAGCGTAATTTAAGAAGCTGACCCCAAAGTAAATTCTGCATTCCTGTTGTTATTCCTGTTATTCCTGTTTCTCCACGGAACAGCACTGCTGTTCCAGTAACTTCTTCAAAGGAGCAATTTATTCTGTAGTTCACTGGTAAGTCTACTTGGAACGCCCTAGAAAGGTTTTTCCATTAGTGACTCTATCCAGCTGGCCCCGTTGATTAGTTTAGTGGTGGCGATGACATATTCTGTACCTCCATCTTCCAGCTGGGAGAGAAATCGCAGGGCGGCAATTTCAGCAAAGGTTACACCCCCGAGGAAAAAGATCAGAGTGACTCGGTTTTCTCCTGGCTGACCTAAAATTTGAACATTTCAGAATGAAGAATCAGTATCATTATTTTAAAAAATTATGTATTTATTTTTGGCTGTGCAGCATGTGAGATCATAGTTTCCTGACCAGGGATCAAACCCTCACCCCCAGCATTGGAAAGCAGAGTCTTAACCCCTGGACTGCCAGAGAAGAACTATTTATTATTGATGCTTCTCTTCCCACCTCTTAAAAAGACTGCATCATTCCTAAGAAAAGTCATATATGTCTTGGTACAGATGGTTCACAAGAAACTCAGGAACCATGATTTTGATCTCAATGTTTTCTCTAACTTCGGAGATCCTCAACTCAGAGGCTGAAATCTGCTAATCCTGAGGGAGTAATGAGTTCCAGTGCTTACAACGTAATTCACAACTAACAAAAGCGGCATATTGGACTCTGACTCCTAAGTCCTTTACGAATGTATTTTTACAAAGCAATTGCTCTAATACGTGAAAACCACAGAAACAGTGCATGAGTATCTGTAGATATGGGCCCTGGACTTACGCTTCTTTTGCAGTCCTGTGGGCAACGGCTGCCGTTCCTCAAAGTGGGGCCCTGGGAGGATGCGCAGAACTTCCTCAATACTCCGCCAGCCAGGCCGGGAAAGCAGCTGGGCCAGTCGCACACTGAGTGGGGCGTAACCGCTGTACACGTACGATATGTCCGTGGGGTTCTGTTCAATCATTGAAGAGAAAAGCGCTTGCACAGCAAGAGACAGAGAAGTGGAGCCACCTAACTGCGGCTTTGGGGGTAATGCAAAGTCATTTGATTTGGCTTTGAAGGTAGAAACACAAAGCCCCAAAATAGTCTGTTTCAATGCTGAAATATCTGGCAGCAATATTGAAATATCTTTCTCTAATATCAAAATATTCTTCTCCGGTCTACTCATGCTTGGCTCTGTTCTTAGCAGCCAAGGGTTCACCTTCTTCTTTTTTGTAATATATTTTTAATTGGAGGATAATTACTTTACAATAATGTGTTTCTGCCATACATCAACATGAATCAGCCATGTGTGCATGTGCTCAGTCGAGTCTGACTCTGCGACCCCATGGACTGGAGCCCGCCAGGCTCCTCTGTGCATTGCATTTTCCAGGCAAAAATACTGGAGTGCATTGCCATTTCCTCCTCCAGGGGATCTTCCTGACCCAGGGATCAAACCCTAGTCTCCTGCATGGGCAGGCGGGTTCTTTACCACTAGCACCACCTGGATAGGTATACATACATCCCCGCCCTCTTGAGCCTCCCTCCTACCCCATCCCACTCCTCTAGTTTGTCACAGAGCATTGGATTTGAGCTCCGTGCATCACACAGCAAATTCCCACTGGCAAGGTATTTAACATATGGTAATGTACATGTTTCCATGCTACTCCCTCCAAAGGTTCACTTTTGATTCAAACCTTCAAAAGCCACTCAAAGCATCTCGAGGTACTGAAGATGGAAAGTTGTTACTTGGTTTAGCAAGAAACTTCTTGGCAGGTAAAGTGGCACTGTCTAGCTGAGAAATAGAACCCTTGGACCCATCAATTCTGCTTTCAGGCATCTATCCCACAGAGGGGCTTGTACTCCAGAGGAGCAAAGACCAAAGCACAAACATATTAATGCAACACTGTATGAACTAGTGAAAGACTGCAAATGTCTTGAATTTCTAATAAATCATAAAACAAGATATAACTGAAAAACCACTATGGAGCAATTAAAAAGAACTTAAAAGAATGAAGGAGGGGGGACTTCTCTGGTGGTCCAGTGGTTAAGAATCTACCTCCCAATGCAGCAGATGCAGGTTTGATTTCCTAGCTGGGGAACTAAGATCTCACATGCTGCAGTGCAGCTAAACCCATGAATCATAGTAAAAGATCCCACATGCAGCAACTAAGACCTAATGCAGTCAAATACATATATAAAAGAATGAAGAGGGGCCTTCCCTGGTGATCCATTGATTAAGACTCTGTACTTCCATATATGCAGGAAGCACAGGTTCCATCCCTGCTTGGAAGTAAGATCCTGAGTGCTGAGACAGTAAGAGGCGGATGGGTGAGGGAGGTACAGGCTGGTCACGGCAGCGAAGAGCCAAACTAATACATGATTAACATTGTACAATACAGGAATTATGGCTGTCATTGCAATCCCAAAGAAAGGTAATGCCAAAAAATGTTCAAACTACCACACCATTGCACTCATCTCATACGTTAGTAAAGTAATGCTCAAAATTCTCCAAGCCAGGCTTCAGCAATATGTGAACCATGAACTTCCAGATGTTCACGCTGGTTTTAGAAAAGGCAGAGGAACCAGAGATCAAATTGCCAACATCTGCTGGATCATCAAAAAAGCAAGAGAGCTCCAGAAAAACATCTATTTCTCCTTTATTGACTATGCCAAAGCCTTTGACTGTGTGGATCATAATAAACTGTGGAAAATTCTGAAAGAGATGGAAATACCAGACCACCGGACCTGCCTCTTGAGAAACCTGTATACAGGTCAGGAAGCAAGTTAGAACTGGCCATGGAACAAAAGACTAGTTCCAAATAGGGAAAGGAGTACATCAAGGCTGTATATTGTCACCCTGCTTATTTAACTTATATGCAGAGTCCATCATGAGAAACGCTGGGCTGGAGGAAGCACAAGGTGGAATCAAGATTGCCGGGAGAAATATCAATAACCCCAGATATGCAGATGACACCACCCTTATGGTAGAAAGTGAAGAAGAACTAAAGAGCCTCTTGAGAAAAGTGAAAAAGGAGAGTGAAAAAGTTGGCTTAAAGCTCAACATTCAGAAAACTAAGATCAGGGCATCTGGTCCCCTCACTTCATGGCAAATAGATGGGAAAACAGTGGAAACAGTGACAGACTATTTTTCTGGGCTCCAAAATCACTGCGGATGGTGATTGCAGCCATGAAATTAAAAGACACTTACTCCTTGGAAGGAAAGTTATGACCAACCTAGACAGCACATTAAAAAGCAGAGACATTACTTTGTCAACAAAGGTCCGTCTAGTCAAGGCTATGGTTTTTCCAGTAATCATGTATGGATGTGAGAGTTGGACTATAAAGAAAGCTAAGTGCCGAAGAATTGATGCTCTTGAACTGTGGTGTTGGAGAAGACTCTTTAGAGTCCCTTGGACTGCAAGGAGATCCAACGAGTCCATCCTAAAGGATATGGGTCCTGGGTGTTCATTGGAGGGACTGATGTTGAAGCTAAAACTCTAATACTTTGGCCACCTGATGCGGACAGCTGACTCATTTGAAAAGACCCTGATGCTGGGAAAGATTGAGGGCAGGAGGAGAGGGGGACGACAGAGGATGAGATGGTTATGGCATCACTGACACAACGGACATGGGTTTGGGTGGACTCCGGGAGTTGGTGATGGACAGGGAGGCCTGGCGTGCTGCGGTTCAGACACGACTGAGTGACTGAACTGATATTCCCACCGGGGAGAAACAATCCAATTTTAGCACTGAGAGAAGAGATTGTTTAATTGTTAGCTTTTGTGCCTCTTGGCAAAGCCAAGAAAAGCCAAAAAAAGAATATAAAAAAAAAATGAAATTTAGAAAGATGGGAATAACAAATATAAAGCAAAGTACACCCTACTTTGAAGACCCAAGGTATAGAATATGCACCATTTATGTAAAAATATTTGTCCAGGATTGCCTGGTGGTCCAGTGGCTAAGACTCTGTATTCCCAATGCAGAGGGCCCGGGTTCAATCTCTGTTCAGGGAACTAGATCCCACATGCCACAGTTAAGACCCGAGCAGCCAAATAAATAAATAAATATTTTAAAAAATATTTGTCTATACACAGAATCTTTCCGGGAAGATGCATAACAAACTGGTTATAATGATCAATTCTGAG